AGTAGCAAATTAGTCAATAAGGGTTTGTTGAAGAGTAATAAAACTATGCTAACTTTCGTACTGCTTCGATCTTTTCCGGTATAAGTCTAACCCTCGCTTGGTGAACTTTCGATTGGGCAGCTTCGATAGATTTTGCACAGATTTAGCCTCACATAGACTATTGTCTACGCAGCGGGTTGGATATAATGTACATGATCGCCGGAGCAGCGAGGAGGAAATGCGGGATCCAACGGGACATGGACATCATCATGATCACCACTCGCACCACCATCATGTGCACCATCGGCAAAGATCGATGGCCATAACCACAAGGCCGAACATGATAAACAACTGGCTGTTCCCGACAATAAACACAAGGAAGATGATGTCCACTATGAAGACGACGAGGAAGATGAGGAAGAGGACGATGACCTGGCTAATGGTGTTGGAACCGGGGATGATGAGGGCTTCAATTTCAAAGCCGATCTTCTGAACAACACCAAATTCGCCGAGGTGGACTTTGTCTTCTTCAATCGAGTCCCAAAGTGGGTAGTCAATCTTTGATGGAACTGATGGCTCGGTTGGGCAAGATCAATGGCTTTACCCATGCTCGAAATAAGGGCAGTGCCCATGAAACGGTCCTCATGAACAAACAACGGCAGAATGATCTTATAGCTGATCTCCTGATCCGACCAAAGCCACATATATATAGCCAGCATATTGCCTACATTAACTTCACTCGCTTCCATTTGCCCAAGCCGATTTATATTAACCTAATCCGTGATCCTATCGATCGGATTATCAGCTGGCATTATTATATTCGGGCTCCGTGGTACTACCGCGATATGCAGGCCAAGTTGGGAGACAAGGCTGTCCCCATGCCCTCGGAGGAGTTTATGAATCTTGATCTGGACACATGTGTAAAAAACCAGGATCCCCACTGTACTTTTACACAAATGCAGATCAAGAACCCCGTGGGCGATCATCGCCGGCAGACGTTGTTCTTCTGTGGCATGAATCAGAAGCTGTGCATGTAAGTAGGAAGTAGATAGGGACATTAATACGCTCATAACCGAACACCTTCGATAGGCCCTTTAACTCCGAGGCCGCCATGCAAAAGGCCAAGCGAACTGTGGAGACGGAATACGCAGTAGTGGGAACCTGGGAAGATACAAATATTACGCTTTCCGTACTGGAGGCCTATATACCACGATATTTCCGCAATGCCAAAGTGGCCTATTACTGTAAGAAAGTCGAATTCTAAGCCGATGATAAGTCCGATCTAAATCCGCTTAATTTTTTCAGTGGGCAAAGACCGTCTGTCGCGAGTAAATCGCAACAATGTCACTCGAATCGTCAGCGACGAAACTCGACTTATTTTGAGAAAAAATCTTACCAACGAGATCGAGTTTTACGAGTTTTGCAAACAGCGTTTGTATCTTCAGTACGCTGCCTTGAGCGATGGAAAGCGGTTCGGGGACGATGACTACCTTTTGGTACCCGAACAGCAAAACGATTACAATGAGGAGTATTAGTAGGGACTATTAAGAATAATTTAACTAAGTAAAAAGCCAGTATAAACTCAGGACTGTATAGAACGCATAAAATTAAATAAATGGAACACTATGCTACCCTTGTGTAATTTTACATAGAAGGAAGGTTGTATTTTCAATATAAGCAATATTGAAATTGAACCCCCCACTTTTTATTGAATGCTCTCTTTTTAACTTTATATATGTTATATGAAGACAGTCCTCGATTGCTTTGTGTGTGAATACTTCCCAAAATACCTCCGTGTGAACACAGTGTTCGGTTGCTTTCTGTGTACCTCGAATCCAGCTCGAGCTTTTTGTGTATCCTCATCCATACTGCTAGTGTCTGTGGGACTGTCTGTGGTTGGTTTCAGATTCTACACCTGTGCCCTGACCCTTTGCAGCTGTGGCGATTAAATCCAAAGTTCCTCAATAACACCAAATTCCATACTGGCGATGTTATCTACTACAATCGGGTTCCCAAGACGGGCAGTGAAACCCTGACCGAGCTTATGATAAGACTGGGTGAAAAGAACCATTTCCAAAACGATCGGGCACCGTTTTCGAAGCCCGTTGGAGTATACTGGGACGTAGAACGCCAGCGTCAAGAAGCCGAGCGCATCATGGAACTACAGGAGGACTCCGCCTTTGTCTATGTGGAGCACATGAACTACATGAATGTCCGACCGTTTCATTTACCCCAACCCATCTACATTAATATGGTAGGACAAATATCTGGCTCCAAGAAGGCCTACTCACTTACAGATTGATTTATCAGATTCGCGACCCCGTCGAAAGAGTAATCAGCTGGTTCTACTACATACGCACACCCTGGAACTCTGTAAGAAATTTTGAGGTCTCCGGAAAATTTCCGAATCGTACCCATTTCTTGAAGAACTTTGAGGATTGTGTATTAACGAGCGATCCAGAATGTCGGTATCATTACGGTCTTATGTTCAAAGATGATCCTGGCGATCACAAGCGGCAAAGCCTGTTCTTCTGTGGACACTCACCCATTTGCGAGTAGGTAGTCTTAATATTTCGGTTTCCTGTCTTAACAGTAAGGTTTTTTGCTCAAGACCCTTCAATACCCCGGGAGCAATAGAAAAGGCCAAACAGAATGTAGAACGTGATTTCTCGGTGGTTGGTTCCTGGGAGGATGTGAATGTGACTTTGACCGTACTCGAAAACTATATACCTCGATTCTTTAAGGGCAGCATGGAGCTCTACTACGGTAATGTCCTTGAAATTGCTATTCAGAGGTGCTCAAAAATATCTATATCTTCCCCTAGAACCCATTAGGGGCCTGGCCTTTAAGAAGCAGAATCTCAACCCCTGGAAGCCGAAGATTAGCGAACGCATCAAGCGAATTATGCGAGCCAACTTCACCCAGGAATATGACTTTTATTATTTTTGCAAGCAGCGCTTGTATCGACAATACTTTGCAATAAATAGACACCTGCATTTCTAAGGAACAGTGTGCTCTTTTCGTTTTTTCCATTAACTTTACTCCGTACAACCCTGTAGTTTATTTTCTGTGTCGTTATTGGTTTTGATTCTGTTTTTGGAAGAAAGTGGACTTATTTCTCTCCCCAATTTTAAGCTGGAAAACTTGGACGCTGCTCAACTGAATAATACCCCCAAAGCGGAGCGGGATTTTATATTCTACAATCGTCTGGAAAAGACAGGAAGCCAGTCGATGACGCGACTCATGTCGCAACTGGGTGATCGACATGGATTTGGCACTTACAGGAATATAGTCCGACCTTGGAGGCCGATTATTGATAGCGATGAGGATGAGAAGGATCTGGTGGATCAGCTCTTCGAACTGGGTGAATACGGTGCCTACGTGGAACACGCCAACTGGGTCAACTTCACAAAGCACGGGAGTCCCCGACCAATTTACATCAACATGATTCGCGATCCTATACAGAAGGTTATCAGTGCCTACTATTACCAACGCCATCCGCTGATCTTCGCCCAGGGTTTGATGCGAAACCCCAAAAAGCGAATTCAGACCAAGAAGTATTTCGACACCTCTTTCAACGATTGTGTCCGGAATCGGATAGCCCCATATTGTGTTTTTGATGCCCACAATCCGTTTAACGGCGATTGGAGGAGATTTTCGCTTCACCTCTGTGGAAATTCGGAAATTTGCACGTAGGTTTTTATTGGTTCAGAAAGAAATGTAGACTTTCAGTCCTAGTCCAAGTTTAAAAGGGATACAACTTTATTGAAGAAATTTTGATGAACGAAACATTTTCAAAACGTAAAACCAAGTAACTAGACAATTTTTAGGGGAAAAGTATATCCTAAGAAATCTCGGTTACATGTGAGCTGATTACAAATTTAATCGTAAAGTTACTTTATTGTAACATTTAAAAACTGACAACCCAAATTTTCTTAAAAAAATCGTTTTATTTGTTCTCGTTTAAACTTGGACGCGGAATAAGGCACTTTTCAAAGAGTAACGGCCTATAAAGTACATGGCTCCTTTTTAGGCACTTTAACTCCGAAACTACAACGCAAATAGCCAAAATGAATGTGGAACGGGAATACGCGGTTGTGGGTAGTTGGGAGGATACTAATGTGACCTTGGCTGTTTTAGAAGCCTACATACCGCGATATTTTGCCAATGCGAGGAGGGTTTACTACAGTAGGTTCATTCTTAAATTAATAAACCCAAAACTCCGCTAACTTCGAACTCTCCTATCTAGGCAAAACAGAAAAATTTACGATAAACACAGTTTCGCATGACACTCATCTGGATAAGGATGTGGAGGAGTATCTGAGGAGCAGTTTCTCCTTCGAGTTTGAGCTATATTATTTTATCAAACAACGACTCTACAAGCAGTATATTGCAGTGTATAAGGACGAGTTTAGCCGTCTTAACTTTAAATGCAATGAAATTACCAAATGAAAATAAATACGGGGATTTACCAAATGATTTTTACACCTAAATTTCAATTCGAGTCTTCTTTCCCTCCTTTCGCTACTAATCATTTTGAATAGCTTGGTTGCTTGAATTCACTCTCCACTCCGCCACCCATATAAGAAATTAACTCAAGGGTGACCAACGACCTTTGCAGATCCTTCAGCTAAGTCCTGATAATTAAACAATACCCCCAAGGCGGAGATCGAGTGTTGTTTTTCAATCGGGTTCCGAAGACAGGAAGTATGCAGCTGATTGAACTTATGAGACAGCTGGGAAAGTCCATGACTACGAGGTGAAAAGGATCCCCAAAGAGGAGGAGTCATTCCCATTCTGGAACCCGCTGAGGAAAGCGACATGATCGATAATATTGTTAACCTTGAAGACGGATCAGTATTCGCAAGTCATGTGAATTTCCTAAACTTTACCAAACATGAACAGCCCAGACCCATTTACATCAACATGGTTCGCGATCCAGTGGAGAGAGTTATCAGCTGGTACTACTACATCAGAGCTCCGTGGGTCTTTGTCCCTGGAAGAAGGCGTAACAATCGGAAATGCCCAATCCCAAATGGGTTAACACCGAATACGATCAGTGCGTTACAAGTGGTGAAAAGGTATGCACCTACATCGAGAATTCCCTGCTGGAACATGTGGGCGATCATCGGCGACAGACTTTGTTCTTCTGCGGTCACAATGAGTTCCAGTGCACGTGAGTTAGGTTTGCACACCCCCTTTTCCTCTCAGTGAACCCTCAAATCCCTCTGTAGACCCTTTAATGGCCGTCTGCCCCTTCAATTGGCCAAAATGAATGTGGAACGGGAATACTCTGTGGTGGGAACTTGGGAGCACACGAATGAAACCCTGGCTGTTTTAGAGGCCTACGTTCCTCGCTATTTTGCGGATGCTTCCAAAATGTACTACTGTAAGTTTATGTGGGAAAATTCTTTAAAATCACGGATACGTTCAGAAGCCGAAAAGTTTCCTGATTTTAAAAATACTTTATTCTTTATAATCTTCAGAAGTCTAGAAATTTGATAGCAACATATATTTTACAGCGGGTCTGCATGTCGACAAGCAAAATGTTAACCCAATGAAGCCGCATATCTCGCAGGATATATTAGATAGGGTTCGACGGAATTTCACACGTGAAATCGAATTCTATCAATTCTGTCGCCAGCGCTTGCACACACAGTACCTAGCCATCAAACTGAACGATCTCAAGCGGGTGGACAAAACATTGGCCAGATTAAGTGAGGCCAAGGATATGGCACATATAACTAGTTTTTTAGATTTATTTTAAAACGAAATTAATAAAAGTGAGAGGAAAACCTAAGACTTTTCTTAAATGCCGAAATTTTTACTTCTTTATCTTCACTATCTACCGCTTTTTTCCAAATGCTCCTTTTATCTTAAAACTTAAGATGTCTTGCTGGAATTCTACTCGACTTTACCATCTAGGGATACTAATCAATATTGTTTTGAAACTTCGGTATGCACAATTTTTTTGCAAACGGATTGCTAAGAACTTAAGCTCTCTATCAAGTTATATCTATCGCTTTATAACCGAACAAATGAAAGCCAATCTTACATTTACTTATGCTCGATCCTTCACACTCAAAGGAAAATATTTCCAATCGCTTATAGTTGGAAAGAATTTTAGAATTATAAGATCGCTGCTTACTAACCAGCCAAGGCTCGGGATCAACTGGATGACCTTCCTCTTATCGAAACCCTCATCATCTTTAGCTACAGCACCTGAGCACAAATCGTCTGAACAATACAAAAAATGCAGAAATCGAGGTACTGTTCTTTAATCGTGCCGCCAAAGTCGGTAGTGAAGCGATGCTGGAGCTTTTCATGGCATTGGAAAAGTACAATGATGATATTACACTCGAAAAGCATGGTCTCCATACAAAGTCCGTTCGTCAAATGATTAAAAAGCAGAGACGTGAGTCCGCCGAGTTTGTCGCCGACCTGGAGGACGGTACCATGTATATAGAGCACATAAATTGGCTTGATTTTGATGAGTTCGACTTACCCAAACCTATTTACATCAATTTGGTTCGCGATCCCGTTGAGAGGGTTATTAGTTGGTTCTTCTACGCCCGAAGTTCCTATAAGAATGCCATCGAGTACCGGAAGAGGCCTGATCAGAAAATAAAACCCGAGTCTTGGTACAAAAAGAACTTTAATGATTGCGTGAGGAGTGGAGATCCCGAGTGTCAATATGTGCCCCATACGGTCAAGGATGTGATTCCCAATTTTAAAAGGCAATCATTGTTTTATTGCGGACATCACGATGATTGCATGTAAGTTGATAGGGATAGTGAAAAGTATTCCTAAATCCATGGGCTTAACTAATGCTAATCTTGTAGGCCCTTTAACTCGCCGACTGCTGTGCAAATGGCTAAGGAGCATGTGGAAAGAGATTACGCTGTTGTAGGCAGCTGGGAGGACACAAATATTACACTAACCGTCCTCGAGAATTACATTCCACGATTTTTTCGCGGGGCTAAGCTCATGTATGAAAGTAGGTTCTAAAAATTCGACAACCAGTTAAAATTGGAACTCACATTATTACCCATTTCTAAACAGTGCACAATAACAAGATCACCAATCGGAACAAGAACAAACGTAAACCGTTTATAGAGCCTGAAGTTAAGGATTGATCCGTAAGAACTTTACTAACGAATACGAGTTTTACCATTTCTGCAAGCAACGTTTATACAAGCAGTATTTGGCCCTCAATTTGAAGGAGTTGGAGAAGCATGGTCTTTTGAACTAGTTGGTTTAAAGTCAGACATTTAGATTGTAGTAGGTGATATATATGCGAACAAATCTTCACATTTTAATAAATAGTATTCAGTAAAACCGTAGACTAGACCCACACTTTTTTTACACGTTGAATCCATATCTGTGTCTTATCGTTTGTTGTGTGGCATGTGTACCCTTCCCATGAAGCTTCTAAACCCCTTCTAAACCTGTACCCCATCCCCCAATAGTTAGGTGACCTAACGCCTGGCCAACTGAACAATACAGCCAAGGCCGAAATGGATCGTCTGTTTTTCACAAGATGCGCCAAAGTCGGCAGTGAGTCGCTGATGGAATTCATGGAGCATCTGCAGAATATCAACCACTATCGGGTGGACAAATATGGAGTTAGCAAGAAATCGAAAAGGCAACTCAAACCACTGGAACAAGCCCGAACTGCTGGCTATGTCTATAACATGGATGAGGGATCGGTTTACATAGAACATATTCCTTGGATCGATTTCCATAAGTACAATCTTCCCAAACCAATCTTTATCAACCTGGTTCGAGACCCCGTTGAGCGAATGATCAGCTGGTATTACTACGTCAGGAACTCCTATAGGAATGCCATTTTCTACCGAAAACATCCCCTGGCTCCTATTAAGCCCACGGCCTGGTTTAAAAAGACCTATAACGACTGTGTGAGGAGTGGGGACCCAGAATGCCAGTATGTTCCATTGGCAGTTCGCGATGTGGTGGGAAACTTCAAAGGCAATCTATTTTTTTCTGCGGGCACGATGAGGACTGTTTGTGAGTGCTGCAAAGAGCGTAAAGTCCCAACCTCAAGAGAAGTCTTCATAACCAACACCTTATTTCAGGCCCTTTAATTCTCCCCTGGCTGTTCAGATAGCCAAGCGCAGGGTCGAATCAGAATACGCTGTGGTGGGGACTTGGGAGGAGACCAACATAACTCTTACAGTTTTGGAGCACTATATTCCCCGATATTTCGCTAGAGCTAAAATGATATATCACAGTAAGAATTCCCCATAAAATATAGTTCGATGTTAGCACCTAAAAAATCTCCGTTCTAGTGTACCAAAAGACCTTACAGAATCGCAATCGCAATAACAGAAAACCCCAGGTGGACCCAGACGTCAGGGCCATGGTCAGGCGTAACTTCACCCATGAATACGACTTTTACTACTTCTGCAAACAGCGTCTATATAAGCAGTATATAGCCCTCAAGCGATATGATATGGAACGACTGATTAACCCCTAACTTCTAAGACTGATCTATCTTTAGTTATTGACATAGTTTCTTTGTAGCTCTTTAATAAAGTACTCAATAGTTAATGTAACTAACAAGTAAAAAACCCTTAGGAAGTCTTTGAAAATCATAAGTCCAATTCAATTTATATAAATCACAGCTTGCTTCGTTGAGTTGCAAAAAGTTGAACAACACTCAACATTCTAAACTGGAGGTGATCTTTTTCAATCGTGGAGCAAAAGTTGGAAGTGAGGCTTTGATGGAACTCATCCAAACGATGGCTCCTTATAATAACATGACAGTAGTCACCAAAGGACCAATAAATATTATATCCCGAACACGATCGCCTGGAGAACGAACGATACAGGCCCTTTGGGTGACCGAGTTGGAGCCAGGCACTGTATACATAGAACATTGCAATTGGTTGGATTTCCGCAGATATCAGTTGCCAAGACCCATCTATATCAACTTGGTTCGCGACCCCGTGGAGCGGATGATAAGTTGGTATTACTACGTTCGCAGTAGTTACCGCAACGCCATCCACTTTCGACGATTTCCCAACGCGACAATACAACCGGAGAAGTGGTTTAAAAGAGCTATAACGATTGTGTTCGCAGTGGTGACCCCGAGTGTCAATATGTACCTGGAAGTGTTAAAGAGGCAGTGGGTAATTACAAAAGGCAAACTCTCTTCTTCTGCGGTCACGATAAAGAGTGTTTGTAAGTAGATTAGAATAAAAATTGGTCTTTCCATAAGAACATATTTCAAGTGGAGAACATATTTCAGACCCTTCGACTCTCAACGTGCTATTCAGCTAGCCAAAGTACATGTGGAACGGGACTATGCAGTTGTGGGAACTTGGGAAGAGACTAATATAACCCTAACTGTATTAGAAGCCTACATCCCAAGATTCTTCAAGGGAGTCAGGAATATATTTGAGTGTAGGTTACATGTCATGCTTCCAATTCTTGTTCAATCAAATTTAAAGAAAACTAGAAAAAGATTTGATCGAATTTCATTTGGTTTTGTTGAATACTTGAACACTTTTATGTTGGTTATATCCTGGGATAGTTATCAGTATAAGTTAGTTACACCATTTACACTCCGTTTATCATCCTCCCATCTGTGTTTTGTTTTGATATTTAATGGAGCCCACAAAAACCCCTGACCTTCCCAGCTCGGCCGGGTGACCCCAATGTATCTGAACAACACTCGATTCGCGGGCTCTGGTCTTGTGGTCTTCAATCGACCAACCCGAGTGGACAGCGAGCAAATGTTACCACTTTTCAGGCAACTTGCCGCCATGAATGATGTCAATGTGGTGCTCAATGGACCTGTTAGAACGATGAACAGAACTCGCACTGAAAAGGAGCAGCTGACCGAAGCGGAATGGGCTAATGAACTGGAGAGTGGATCGATCTACATGGCCCACTCCAATTGGCTGGACTTTGCTAGTTATGGGTACAAGAAACCAATATATATCTCCCTTGTAAAGGATCCCATCGATCGGATGATTACAGACTTCCACAAGAGACGCTCTTGGGTTAAGAGAACAATATACAGAAGGATGTACCCAGGACGTCCTGAGAGGTCCGATGAGTGGTACCAACAGAGTTTCAACGACTGTGTGAGAAGTGCAAGTCCAGAATGCCTCTTCGTCCAATATTCAGTTGGGGATTACATTCAGGACTTCAAAAGACAATCCCTGTACTTTTGCGGCAATGAAGCCGATTGCTTGTGAGTAGTTCAAGGGTTCGTTGACCTAAGTTTAAAGTATTACCCTCCTGTAGGCCCTTTAATTCCCCACACGCTATACAGGTAGCTAAACGAAGAGTGGAGAAAGAATATTCTGTGGTGGGCACATTAGAAGAAAGAAACATAACCCTGACTGTGTTGGAGAAATACATTCCCAGATTCTTCAATCATGCTCGTTTTCTATATAAATGTAGGTAGTCCCCGGGGTTAAATTCATAAAGTGTTCAAGTATCGTCGGCAAGGTATCAAGAGTCATGGATTTATCTCTTTCAGTGCACAGCAAAGCTATTCGAAATCGGAATCGCAATAATCGCAAGCCCCATATAGATCCTGATGTTAGGGAGATGGTAAGGCGGAACTTTACCAACGAATACGAGTTCTACTACTTCTGCAAGCAGCGTTTGTACAAACAATATTTGGCCCTGCAACTCGAGAACAATCTTCATTAAAGGTTTCAGATAAAACTAACGCCAATAAAGAAAATTGTTTTTACTGAAAAAATGTAAACGTATTTTTAAATATTTAATATTTTACATAAAGAAATGGTTTATTGAGGGGTTTCTTTGTCCTATATTAACGTCTAAGCCGTTCAATTTGTTTAAGAAACTGTTCTGCCCAGTTATTTGAATGTTTAGTTAGGCCATAAAAAACATACCCTTTGCCCAAAATGCATATCAAGTACCAAGGATCTAAAGGTAAAAGAAACCACATTATTAAATCTATAAATTTTTTGTATTTTATTTTTAATAACTTCTTTTGAAACTTATTACCAGATGTCCTCCTTAAACGTGCGGGATTTGAATAATACCCGCAAGGCCCAAATGGAACTGGTATTTTTCAATCGAGTTCCTAAAGTTGGAAGTCAGACGTTCATGGAGCTTCTTCGACGACTTTCCGAGCGTAATAATTTTCAGTTCCATCGGGATGCAGTCCAAAAAGTTGAGACAATACGTTTGGCGGAGGACCAGCAGCAGGAAATGGCCGAGGTGATCAGTGAGCTCCCGGAACCCTCAGTCTTTATCAAGCATGTGTGCTTTACCAACTTTACCAAGTTCAATCTGCCCAAACCAATTTACCTAAATGTGGTTCGTGATCCTGTGGAGCGTGTCATCAGTTGGTTTTACTACGTGAGGGCTCCGTGGTATTTTGTGGAGCGGAAAGCAGCCTTTCCCGATCTACCATTGCCCCATCCTGCTTGGCTTAAGAAGGATTTTGAAACATGTGTTCTTAATGGCGATCAGGAGTGCACCTATACTCAGGGAGTCACGGTGGAGGGAATTGGCGATCATCGCAGACAGAGCTTATTTTTCTGCGGTCACGACTACGAGTGCACGTAAGTTTCTGTTTTGTAGCCCTAGAAATAACAAAGTTACTGTTGAATTACTGAGTAATTTAAAAAAAGTCTACTATAAAATTGGGAAATTAACTTTTTAATTAACGACTTTATTACATTTCTAGGCCTTTTAACACCTTGGGTGCTCTTGAACGAGCCAAATTTGCCGTAGAGCAGCAGTATGCTGTTGTCGGTGTACTCGAAGATCTCAACACCACACTCTCCGTCCTGGAAAAATATGTACCACGATTTTTTGAAGGTGTTCGAGATATTTATGCAAGTGAGTTTATAGAAATCTAGTGGTCAACTAAAATTCAATTCAGCCACGCTTAAAGTTATCTAAAATTAATATAAATAACTAAGTCTTTTTTAAGACGGGCGATACATATAGAATAGCAAACTTTGCGTGCTTTTTATGATTTTTTATTGTGCTAGGATCTTGTAACTTGTCCTTTCGATTACTTTGCTCTTATATAATTAAAAACATTTTTTATTATTTTATTCTTTTAAAATAAGTAAAAACATTTGTAATTTTTTTATTCTTTCAAAATGACGGCTGTTGGTTTTTTTTAATCGGGCAAGCTTTGAATTGAAACCAATTTAATTTTGTTAAGAAATGTTGTGAAAACTGTCTGAACCGTTTCCGACCATATAAGTATATGTATTGTTGATCAAGATCATGGCTAGATCGACTCCTGATCAAGATTACATAAACTTTGTATACTTTTCAGACGAATAAAACACAATTTTACTGAAAACTTTATGTTAACTTGACACATTTGAACTATATAGTACCTCTAACCACATCTATGTATTTTGATTTATCATCTTATAGCTAGCGCTGAATACTTAACGAAGATCAATAAGAACAACTTCAAGCCGCCGGTCAGCGAACATGTAAAGGATATAGTGCGTCGGAACTTTACAAATGAGATCGAGTTCTATCAGTTTTGCCGCCAGAGACTCCACAAACAATATTTAGCTGCCCACTTACCCCAGCGAATTATCACAGATTCAGCTCATCTGCCCGGCCTAATTGGCAATTAAATTGGATACTTTAAAGATCGCGAACAAATGTAGAAACAAATAAGACCAACAAAATTGTACTCAAACCTGTAGTCAGCTAAGTTCCCCATTATGTTTTAGCTAAATGATTGTTTTTCTTGTGTATATTTCAAAATGGTTATCAAAAATATGACAAATCCATCTTATATTTATATTGATTAGTAAGTACTTAATATTAGAAAGACCTGAATTTGTATTGTGATGTCTTCAAGTGAACTGATGAAATTTTTGTTTTAGTATTTTAGTTTTAAGACGATTATGATAATACAATGTATAAACTAATAAATGAATATTTTAAGAACACTTTGCTTTTGTACTTTTTTACTATTTTAACTATGAAACGGAAAACACAAAATACTAATAACAAAATTAACTTATAAAACCAACGATAATGGGTTAAAAAACGTAAACAACATTTCGAGTATTTATATATAATGTCATGAGAATATGTCGGTTTAAATATATATAGCGAATTTAAGGAAAAAGAACGATTGGTTGGTGGTTTTTACATAAACTATTCTATGAACTGGAAATTCTCTGCTGGAGATTTTTACTCTAACTTATAGCACTTGTTTATTTTTGTCGGTCTCGCGCATCGATTAACTGGACGCTTTTTGCTGAGGATAGATAAAATAATTAGGAAATGGTTTATGTTTATTAAATATATTTTGCATACCGCTTATTGCCAAACAACGCGAAAGCCTCTTCTGATTTCATAGCCTCCCAAGGACCGGGTATTTCCCTATGCACCCGTATGATATTCAATGCGGAAGAATCATTGCTTGATACTTCTACAATTCTTTGGGGATCCTTTATATATGTCGATATGGGATCCTTTTCAATTACATGTAAAACGTGATCATCGTGCAGTTTTAGCCATTCTGGGTTACCCGATCGAATGTTAAGGAGATCAGGAGCCAACCGTTGTACTGCACTGGCAAAAATACTATCCATGGCACATGTACGGGGACTTTGATAAGCAGCCACATGGAGCCGCGTTCTGGCCTCGAACAAGCGATATATACGATGAAAATCCTGATAACGATACTCTATGCGTTGTCCATCGGCCGATATGCGGGCCTGAAGAAACACATCATTAAAATCCATTTCCGCTGAGTTGAGGACATTCAAGCGATTGTTATCACGGCGCAGGTAATCCCATTTATCTACATCCAATCCGCAGCGACGATTATGAACAATATCAAAGATGTAAGTATGACCCATCATGGGAAACGAAAGAGAGTCACTGCATCCCAGAATCAAAGCCTTTATCAATTGAACTCCTCGCCCGCTGCCATCGTCCCTCAAGGAGACCAGCTCCTGATTAACGGCATTTTTGAAAATGAGATCCACACAGGCCAATGCGTTTTGCTCGTGCTAAAAGAAAGTCAAGTCGTAAGCCTTATCATACATCTACACCAGATTAAATATAACTTACATCAAAACTATGATGGCAAGCATACTCCCAAGCATGTGACATCGGTCCATGTCCTATGTCGTGCAAAAGGGCAGCTATCTCCACCGCCTGACGACACCAATCCGGTAGTTTTGGCTCATAATGCGAGTTCCGTTCAATGGCCCTTAGATGATCCTGCGCGCTTTTGTAGGCTCTTGTATATGAAAAATATATATATTTCGATTTAAATTTAAATTATACGCTCTTCATATTTACCCAAGACAATGATCGAATCGCTTGTGATTGGCCTTCTTATCGAGGGACCATGGTATGAGACCCAGTTGGTGGACCTTTTTAAGTCGCTGAAAGAGAGGATGCTCCACGATCTCCTGAATATGGCTGGGCAGTTCAATTACTCCATGAACCTCGTCCTCAATAAGCATCTGAAAGTGTACGGAACAAAGATAACATGTTTGTTGTATTAAATGTATCATTGACTTCTAGTTTTCTTATACTTAGATTTTTAAGAGCCCTATATAGATTTAAAAGTCGAATAACTTGTTGAATTCATTTAATCCTTTACTTTTACTTTTACGTAAACATATCAATACAAGTTATGAATGGTATGTGAATTTAGCTACCACCGCTTCCACCACCGCTGCTTCCTCCACCGCTGCTTCCTCCACTGGAACTTCCACCACTGCCACTGCTACTGCTGCCGGTACTGGTACTGGAAAAATCACTGCTTCCACTACCACCACCGTGACCCCCCAAGCACATGGAGACTATAAAAATACTTAGGCATATGATGTCTGGAACTAGACCTATGGCGGCCATAATACACTCCTTCTTTTCGAGATGGCCATCGATCATCCTTCGAATGTTAAGAATAAGCGAGGCACTGTGGATTAGTACTTTGGTAAAAAAGGAAAGATCATTTCCAACAGGACAGTCCTACCAATATGGGAGGGTCATCATCTGGGCTGCTGCGTACAAAGCTAATAAAACGGTTTTGCTTGCAGATTTCCAAAATACAAGTAAATTAAATATTGTCAAGTAAATTAAGGCTGCAAAACAAAGCTTCCAATTTTTCGATAGGGAATACGACGCACTTTCACTTAATAGCACAAAAATGGCTGCTGTGGTCAATGTCACAACCATGCTGACCTGCAACAGTCGATCTTGGTAAAGCAAATCTCTGAAAATACTCAAGTTCTTACTGTCAATTGGGCCACAACCTTCCGATAATATTTTGGCCGCTTCAACGAATCTTCATACGGAATATCACTACCCAGAGGAGGTGGTATAATTAAGCTTGCTGAAAATGCCATTTTTTTAACTTTCAAATGGACCCCGTCGACATATGTGCTTATAAGGTAAAACTTGTATTTTATTCAGTGTTTGGAGTATAGAATTTGTAAGACTTTTAACGCTAGGTTACTATATTTAAGGGATCTTGAGCCATTTGATCGTCCGCATGTTGAAATATAGGTTGGTTTCAATCCCTTAATTATACCCGTTACTCGTAGAGTAAAAGGGTATACTAGATTCGTCGGAAAGTATGTAACAAGCAGAAGGAAGCGTTTCCGACCCCACAAAGTATATATATTCTTGATCAGGATCACTAGCCGAGTCGATCTAGCCATGTCCGTCTGTCCGTCTGTCTGTCCGTCCGGATGAACGCTGAGATCTCGGAAACTATGGGAGCTAGGCTATTGAGATTTGGCGTGCAGATTCCTGAGCTTCTTACGCAGCGCAAGTTTGTTTCGGTACAGTGCCACGCCCACTCTAACGCCCACAAACCGCCCAAAACTGTGGCTCCTACAGTTTTGATGCTAGAATAAAAATTTTAACTGAAATGTATTGTTCTCATCAATACCTATCGATTGACCCAAAAAAAAGTTTGCCACGCCCACTTTAACGCCCACAAACCGCGAAAACCTGTGACGCCCACAATTTTCATGCTAGATAAAAAATTGAAAAACTGAAATGTATTGGTCTCGTCGATACCTATCGATTGATCTAAAAAAAATTTGCCACGGCCACTCTAACGCCCATAACGCTTAAATCTGTATACCGGCGGTAGGTGGCGCATTTTAATCTCGCTTTGCTGCTTGCATATCTCCATATAGCTGAGTAACGGGTATCTGATAGTCGAGGTACTCGACTATAGCGTTCTTCCTTGTTTTATAATGGAAATTTGCATGCAGACGAGAAAACTTCTTGGGGATTTCTTCCGTAAATCATTTCAATTTTGATCCGAAATGCCCCTCAAGATATGCCCCGCCGTTATTCATATCATATTTTGGTTATGACCAACGAACGACCTAGCTAATTACCAGCTAGTTCATTACGAAGGCAAGGATTTTTCTAATCAAAAATAAACAGAATTAAGAAAAAGTAAATAGAAATACATTTTGTTTTACTTTTATTCTGGATCTCTAGAGAAGTCTGAATAGCAATATATGACTAGATGCGCTTCGTAGCTTCCGTTCTCGAATTTATTATTTTTGCCACTTTAAATTAGCTCCCGATATGTTTAATGTTTGTTTGTAAACAAAACGTGTGGAATTCATATAAGCTTGCTGATACCAACGCCATCAGCCTTAGATGAAACTTTTTCGCTGACTATAACATATTTCCATCCGGGTACAGAATTTATGTTTCTATAAGAGTTTCTTACTTTGTAAGCATTGTAAAAAAGTCCAAGTTAATAGCATACGTTACATATGTATGTATATTGTACAAACAACATTTTACCGTAGAAGCATAAAGTGATTGAATCAATAAATATGTTTATTATAAACAACTTCTAAAACATTGTTAAGAAAAATACAATTTACTTAAGTATGTATGTGACATTCGTAAATAAGTTATAATCAGTGTTGAAGAAGTAGTGATCTTCTTGTCATAGATTTAAGGTTTTATGAGCTCTGTTCATGCCAATATGTAAATCTATCTAGTGCCTTAAAAAACTATCTGTAACTTAAAACCTACAAGGGTGCAGTGCCGAACAATTGTAATCTTAAGTACAGGCCACTTGAGCCTGACTATAAATATAGTTCTCACATTGCACAAAGGGTGGCTTAGCGGAAGACCGTTCGGTTTTTTTTAATTTGAAAGTTGCCATTTCTTTAAATTTGTTAGTTTAAAATAAATTTCAATAATCCAAATAGAAATAAACTATATTTCTTTAGGTTCTAAGCATCGATTTATAGCAGACGTAGTAAAAAGATCACTTAGTTTTTGTTAGAGGGACCTCCTTTGACGATCCCAATTTAGATTTTTGGAAACATTTTTGTTCAATTGTACTATATTTGAAAAACGCTGCCTGGAAACTTAGGTCAATATCTTCAGAACTTACAAAGTTGTAATTTTCTGAGTGGAAGTGCCTGTAGGCGTATTATAAAGTGTCCAAAACTTTAAACGAGTGTTTTTCGAAAGCCCTTCTTTTATTAGTTTTTGGGTATACGATTGAGAGAGCTGTACTAAACCGATCAAGTTTATCATTGCTCATTTTAAAATAACAAAGTTCTGTTATAGATGGGAACGGTTTTGAAAAAAAAGTGGTTGTATTTTTGTTTGT